CTTTCCCAGCTGGCAGGAGAGTTTAGAAAGGTTTGCTTCAAACCATAACAATTCGGCCCGGCCCCCACCCCGCTCCAATTTTATTGGCGTGCCCTCTGTTTAAGCACTACTTGTTTTCATGTAGAGTGTGAAACAGCAAATGGAACTCCTCCGAGTTGTAGGGCTAGCGGGCAAGGAGGACAAAGGGGGCAGTGGTTAAGATAACAAAGGCAGCTTGAAATGATTGCTGCACTGGGAATACGCACAAAAGGTGACAGATGCCCCTAAGACAGCAGGGGCCGAGGGAGGGATGAGAAAAGGACACTTGAATAACAGTGTGAAGGAAAATAATCCAGCTACACTTCAAGTTTTTCTCCCTTGCAGAATGTTTTCTGCTTTATTTAAAAAACAAACAAACAAGCAACCAACCAACCCTCAATCCAAATCGCAGCTTCTCCTAGCTAACGGGTTCCGAAGGACCTGCCTGCGTTCCACCCCTCGCAAACCTGACAAGGGGTAATTCAATTAGCAAGACACCATCATAAGAGTCATCATCAGGGCAGGACCCACAAAGCATTATTTCAAATTGGAGTCAGTGCCATGTTGTTTGGGGAGACACTGTGATGGGGCAAAATATATTCCTGCCTATCTTCTCCCAGGGAAAAGGCAGTTGTGGGTCCCTGTAACTCAGCAGGAGAGTGGGGATGAAGTGGGGTGAAATCTTTATCTTACAATGACTATGGTCCAGTGGCATTGCTGCAGTGCCAGAGGCTGTTATGTATGCGATCGTATTTCCCCTTGATTCCATGCCTAACCCGCGAATGCAGTGTCCAGTAGGATATGCTGAGACACAAAGAAGTAACAACCTCCTCTAATGATACCAGTTTTCATCCAGCGATATCAGAGCTCTCTACAAATGTGGGTATCATCGTCTCCATTTCACAGACAGAGAAACTGAGGCACCAATCTGGCCAAGTGATTTGCCCAAGATACAGCAATGAGCGGCAGAACTGGGAGTCAAACCCCTTTCTCTTGAAGTCCTGGTCCCACGCTCTATTTGCTGGACCATGCTGTTTCCTGCTCTACTCCACAGAGATCACAGAGCACATAATATGGAGCAGGCTAATCTCACCCGACCCTGTCATCTGGACATCCCCTATTCCCCACCCCCGCACAAAGCCAATTCAACCTGCTTATCTGCAACCTCCCTGCTGCCTCCAGAGAGACACTGGCTCCTTTAGCCAGCCAGGGCACACGCTCTCCAGGCCCTGCTGACTTTGAAAACAAAATTCCTGTCTGGCTCTAACAAGCAATGGTCTGGGGGTCACTGGATCCAGGGCTTTGATTTGACCCTACTGCAGCTGGAAGCGAAATGCTTCCCGCCCTGCACTCGACTATGGCTGTCTAACTTTCCCAAGGCCATTGGTCATATACATGGGGAGCCAAGGCCATGGGGCGCTCTGTTCATAAGGATCCCCGTCTGGTATAATGCCTCCTTTGCTTTCTCCGCGTTTGATCCCGAGTCATTCCTCAGCTCTTCCCGGCCAGTCTGGTTCGTAGAGCAGCTTTGTGTGAAATGGCTGGTTTTAAATGCATTGCATTAGAGAGACCTTTCCCTGCTCTCTCCGATGAAGTCATCACTCCCCTTTAATCCCTCCAGGGGCCAGGAGGCTCACAAATGGATTTCTTTCCCTCCCCGCAGGGCAATCAGGCTAAGAGAGCATCTGCACACACAGGAAACGCTTGTCAGTAGCCTTCCAATTCGGTTACACTTTCATTTCATGAGGCATGACATTCCCCTGAGAGAGCATTAAAAAAAGAAAGTGCCTTGAAAGCACTGCTCAATTTTTCCCTGCAGAGGAACGTTGATCTGCATGAGAGCCTAGATACATGTGAACTTATCAATGAATTCTGTGCCCAGCACACCTGCTTTCTCTCTGCCTCCTGTGTTTCTTCACTTAGCTCCTGAACGCCTGGTTTCATAGAATCATAGAATATCAGGGGTGGAAGGGACCTCAGGAGGTCATCTAGTCCAACCCCCTGCTCAAAGCAGGACCAATCCCCAGACAGATTTTTACCCCAGTTCCCAAAATGGCCCCCTCAAGGATTGAACTCACAACCCTGGGTTTAGCAGACCAATGCTCAAACCACTGAGCTATTTGTCCGTGGCTCTTGCACATCGCCTCTTATTTTGCCACAGTGCATGGGATGCTAAGTGGATTCCGGGTCCAACTCTAAACTGTACAATGTGGCTTGTCAGCAATTCTGAGGAGTGGCCCAGATGGGACGAATATCCCTGGCGTGTTTTTCTCATGTCGCGTTTTTTAAAAAGAAAACAAAGCAGGGCTGGACTAAGGTTATAATCCTCAGGCCTGGCATTCCAACACCCCAGCCTTCAGGAGTGCTGCTGAGAATCAGTCTGGCTCTTTATAAAGAAAGCAAAATTGGCGTCTGGATCCAGACTGGAATTTTGAAACCTCCTAACATCTGGGGGAGTTCAGGATCTGGAGTTGTAGATTGGACCAATCACAATTAAAAGGCAGGCACAGCTGGATTTCATCACACAACAACATGGAATTAAACATATTTCACCCAGGCAAATCCATCTCTCTGGTGTGAATTTGGGTGGGAGTTTCACACCTTTGCAGGTCTAATTTCAGAGTCAGGTTTCAGCAACCCCCCAAACCTGGGCTTTGCCTGGTTTCAGGTTGAAATGAGACAGAAGCTGGAGCTGCACATTTTAAATCCAGTCCCCAACTTTCCTGGGAGTCGGGACATGTTTGGATCTGGGGTTTTGGTTCAGCCCATTAGAGCGAAGGGCTCAGCTGAGTGCCTGGATCTGAGGGTTCTAATTTGGATGCTTCTACATTTTATCGGTGCATGACCTGGTTTTTCTCCTAGTGGTTTGTGTTACCTGTTGTCCTATCTTCTGCTGGTGCTAAAGGACTCCTGGTGGGGTGTAGCTTCTGGGGTTCTTAGCTATCGGCCTGGAGAGAATGACAAGCTCTCATAGGCCATCAGCCAACAAGCATCCCAGTGAAAGCCTACCCAAGTTGGAAACCGCACAGTGGATTAAATCGAGTTCTCAGACTCTCTCCCTCTCTCAGGATTTTGCCTTTGCTTTGCTATTCAGCAGTTCAATTGGAGATTATCTCGCTTTGAAGCCATTTACCTAATCTCATCAGAAAAGGGTCCTAATTCCATGGCCTCACTGTTGTCATCTCCTGCGGGGAAGGACCTAAACGGATCAGAATAGAAAAGCCTCAATAGCTCATGTGTCTACACCCAGAAGATAGAATGAGCGGCTGTCAATGGACTGGACACCTCCGACTGCAGACAGCAGGACACGCTCTCTGCCATGAGTGAAGCCTGAGCAACAGGAGACGCAGCGTCTAGGACTGAGCAGCCTCCGCACAGCAGTGGACTTTCACTCTCAGCTCCGTACAGCAGAGGTAGGGCTCCCACGGCTTAGCTTACGCGGATCTGATTGAGATGTAGGGCTTGTACCTTCATGTCCTTCCTGGCTAACAAGCTGAGCTGCGCCCTGGCAGTGCATAATTAAACCCCTATAACATTGGGTAACAAACCAAAGAGGAGCCCATCAGACATCCTCCCCAAGTACCTTACTGCTTGGTTGAAGGGAAAGGGAGCAGGCATTGAAGAACTGCTGAGCTCCAAGAAGACAGACAGCAGATTAACTAGCTCCTGTCTCCCAGGCTGTCCCATCTGGCCGTTTGCAGAACAGTTCCTGACCCGTGTCAATAAAGCTAAAGTAAACAGGTTTCTGCAATGGCGCTACGGTGCAGCAGCTGTGGCTAAGTGATCAGTGGAGCAGGGAGAAGGGGGAAAGACTCTGTTTATCATTCTGTCAGTTCACAGTCGATTCAGCAATCTGTTGAATTCCACGCCTGAGAGTGTTCTGCTCGGTGGGAATAACATATATAGCCAGGGCTGCACTTCAGCTGACAAATCCAGCGCCTGCTTAGCCTCTGGTTTGCCACCCAGAAACACATGGCAAGGTGAAATGCACAGGAGGAAGTGTCCATGGTGCTGAGAACCAGCAACCCAAGCCAGCATTAGCAGCGCATGGCCCCGTCTACTTGCTCCTTTATTCCGTGCGCCTAACATTCCATGCTCCCCAAAGCCAGGGACAGAGGAGCGTTGGTTGGACCCAAGAAGAGCGTGGGTATGCGCTGGGCAAGCTTTGCCCACCCCAAGCTTTGCAGCTCCACCCCAGTCCTCAGACCCACCACCCACCATTCCAGTCCTAAGGCGCCTTGCAGCTCTGGCAATGCACCTCATTGCTCAGTTATAAAAGCCCCTGTTATTCCAGACCCACAGCTCTGCCAATGCAGCTTATTCCTGACCTGCGGCACTCCCTCTTCTGCTGTCCTGGGCCCTTTCATGGCTCTGCCCATGCACTTTTTGCCAGAATTTTGTAAAGTACTTAGGTGCCTGCAGATGCAGATGGGGACAAGCACCTAGAGAGGTTTTCAAAAGCATGTAGGATTTCAGTGGGAGTTAGGCACTAAGGACCTATTGAAAACCCGACTAGGTGCCTACTTGCATCTTCGGGCACATGGATACTTTCAAAAATTTGGCCCATCCATCTTCAATTGCAGAATTTCTTGCTATTCAACTTCCACTGCTCGGTCAACACACTTCAGTCCCAATCCATGGAACCCCGGCAGTTCCAGAACTGGGCCTCTCTTGAGTCAAGACTGCCAGTCATCTAGGATATTGCATGGCAGTTTTGTTATGTGAAGGAAAATCTACTAGGGATTAGGATGAAACCACCAAACTTACTTGCAATTGTGTTTGGGAATTAGTTCTCCAGAGAGGACAGGCTAGTGCACTAAAGGATCCAGCCACGATCTAATCCCATTGCCAGTGTAGATCTAAAAGCAGGGCTCACTGGAGTTCAAGTGTAGTCAAGTGCAACTCCTTCGAAGAAACTTAGCTCACAAAAGGGAAGAACCAATCTCCCAAAAGACACCACACAGCACTGTGGCTGTACTCACCTGCAGGAGAGTCTGGAGGGGGCACGTCAGCGATAGGTGATGAGAGAGAAAAGAAGAAAAAAAGGCACATTACTTAACATTCCCCTAATGATCAAGTGCAAAATCAATCCCCAGCGAAGCTTCGCAAGGCTTAGCAACCATGTTTTCCAGATCCACCGGCAGGCTCAGAATTATCCATGCAATTTCTGTGCCCCTCCAAATCTTGTATTTCTGCATGCAAGCAGTAGCTGCATACCAGGGTCAGCCAGCCAAACATCTCAATGCCTGATGTGCATGGCAAATCTGACACTGCGGGCTCATGGGAATGTGTGTGTGTAGTTCTAGGTTTTCAAACTGAGAAGACAGTATGTGGCTGCTTTCTAAACTTGTTCCTGAATGTCCAGCAATAGCACAAGGGAACAGCATTTTATTTGGTCTTCCACAGCTGTACAGAGTGACGAGTTAGATGCTGTCAGTGCAGCAACTGGTATATACTCTGCAACAGGCCATGTTAGAATCTGTGTCAGCAAAGGAGGCGACGTTGGGGCGGGACACCTGGGTTATCCTTTACCATTTACAAGCATTGCAATGGGATCTTTAATTTCTGCCAAAGAAGACCTCAGTTTAGCATCTCATCCCTGATCATGCAGACCTACACCCTTCCCCTACTACTGCACTGGGAGTTCGTTATCCAGCTCTGGGGGTTAGCTTTGAATCAGTTTGTGGGCCCAGAGTCAAGAACTCATTCAACTGCAACACCCAGAGCCCCACCCTCAGCTGCTGGACAGCTCCCCTGAAGCAAATAGAGGTATGTCAATTTAACCAGCAGAGGGTTTGCCCTCTATCCCCAAGACTCCAGTTGTGAAACTCTGGATTTGGTGTCAACAGAAGCAGAATGTGGCACACCTTTGTCACTAGGTGTCATGCCAAGACAGGGTAGTGACATACTGGCTTCACTGGCCGAATGCATTCACTCCAGTGGAGCAGATTTGGGCTCCGCATCTTTTTAAGTGCCTGGTGCACGTGAATCCTTTCCAGTCAGTCCTGCTCCGGGACGGTGAGAAACGCAACATGCATCTCTATGCAGAGCCTGGACTCTGCTTTGGCAGCGAAATGCTGGAATCCATCTCCTCCTCCCCAGCGGCCGCCGTCAGACGACCAAACTGCCCTCTCCCGTCCCGGCCTGTCAATCCACTTCCTCGCCCATGAGTACAAAATCAATATTGGGCTTTGCCTGGGTCTCAGCTGGGCACTTCCTTTCAGACATCCACAGGACATGCCAGCTAAGCAATCTACTTAGGCCCCAGGGAGGAGAGATTTAAGCAGACTCCACTGACCTCCCTCCCGCAACTCAGCAAGATTCTTAGTGTTAATATTCCATGGGAAACTGCAGCTTTGTCATACAAAAAGATCCTAAGGTGTTTCTACAAGGAGCCAGTAGCCCTGCCAGCTGGGGATGGGCCAAATTCCATATCTGCCCTGTTTCTCATGTTCCCCGCACTGAGGTACTTTTGACACAGGTAACACAGGTGGCATAATTGTTTCTGAAGCCATGCCCCATAGGACTGTGCTCTTAGCATAGCTTAGAAGCTAAAGAAGGGTCATCCGAGGGAGATGTCCAAGGAAAACACAGGAAGTGGTGTTGGTAATTCACTCTTCCCTCTTCATCAGTACTGAACCACTGCTCCCACAGAGATCTAAGGGGATCTACACTGCGTGACATGGGCCGTTGATCCAGCCACAGGAATTCTTTCCTTTGGCTTCTTAGTAGATGAAGGGATGTCAACTTACTCATCATCGACATTGCTTTTGTTATGTGAATTTTTTTTCTTTTCCATTGGGAAAAATGGTTCGTATAACTGGTCATGCGTAAGATTAGTGGTGGTAAAAGCAAGGTTCTACTGGAGCACCAAAATTTCCCCCAAAAGATTCTTCTTTCACTGGTGAAATTACCCACCCCACAGCTGCCTTCTTGATGGAGAAGGAAAATCTATTCTTTGGACTCATCGGAGAAGAGGCTGCCTTTAAGTAATAATGGTCACGGCACAGGGCATATTCCAGGGGTTAGTAACTGGCTGGTGCCGTCTAGTATTTAGAGCCAGAGGGATCAAGAGACTTGATAGCCTGGGAAGTAGACATCTCTTCAGGAGTACCATGGGCCATGGTCATTATTGCGATTATAAACCAGGCAGGAGACAATCAAATGAAAACACTATTAACAATTCCTTTGTTACGGGCAAACAACTTGCAGACAAGGGAAAAAGTGTTTGTGAATAAATCATGGTGAAAAAGAAATCAGGCCTAATTTATTTGATGGATATTCTTTGACCACCTATAGAACGGGGAAAATTTATTTACGAATAAGTGATTTGACAAGGAAGGGATAAAATTCCTTGGATAAACTCTTGGGGGCTGAGGCTCAAGGCTTGTCTAACAGCCCTGTAGTTCAGACTGCAGGGTGTGACCTGCTGCGCACACCAAAGGGCTGCGTTATAACTCCCCTCCCTGCCCGTAGACGGTGCTAGTATGAACTAAAATGTACCAAGTTCATGTTAACATAGCGCCAGTCCGAGCCCAGATGTATACACAATGTGAGCCCAAGACTGGAGACCGGGGCTCTGAGACTCGCTCCGGGTTTCTGCTTGCCGTGTCGACGCACCCTCGGTGCATGACCTTGGGGAAGTCACTTCACCTCTCTGTATTTCAGGTTTCCTAGCTTCAGAATTGCATGACAAGTACTGATGTCTCAGAGAGACTTTGTCAGGAGTAACTTATTAATGTTTGTGAAGCCCTTGGAGATCCTCAGACAGTGGGTGCTAGGAAAGGGCAGAATGTGACTCCTTAAAGGAGAAAGAGGATCCTTCTTTATATCTAATAATGCCCATGCTGAAGGAACATCCATCCATCCCCATATGTACCCCTCAGTCTGCTCACCTACCCATCCCCAGATATTATCTATCTATCTATCTATCTATCTATCTATCTATCTATCTATCTATCTATCTAATCATGTAGCGAAAGGCAGTTTGGTCTCTCCATCACCTGTACCTATTTATTGGAGCTCAGTTTAAATAGCTTTGCTCTGCCCCTGCGGGGAGGGCCGCAGGGCTCTCTGATGAGAAAGCAGGCAGGGCCTCTTGTACCCTGGTAGCTGGGAAATCATTCTGTGGGAGGGAAGAGAGATGTGGGGAAGACAGGAGCATTTCCCAGCTCCCTCCACTTCTCCTCACAACCCATTAACCTAACTCGGGGTGTGTGTGGGGGGGTGATCTCCATGTGAATGAAGAAACGGCCCTTCAGCCAGCCCAGCCCCCAGGGAACAAATGGCTCCATCCGTCTGCTGGCTGAGTTAAAAGGGGGCGCTGACCATCTGGTGGAGCTGGGCAGTCAGGCGTGCTGCTGCCGCCTCCTGGGGAAAGGTGGAGGGGAAGCTGGCTGGACAGATGTGAGAGCAGACAGACAAGTTTCGGGAGGGATGTGCTGCCACCATAGCAGCTGCAGACGCTGGGGCTCGCCAGACGCTTTGTCCGGCTTGTGAGGGCAGGGATGGGAGAAGAGAAAAGGGAGGGAATGGACGAGATGAGGGAGGGAGAATGGGAGAGCCGCTGGGCTGCTCTAACTGCTTCCCAAGCCAAACCTGGCTTCCCAGAGCAATGTCCCGGCCTTACATGACACTGTTTTCATGTATGGACTCATGACAATAACATGCTCAGGGAACAGCCCCCTACATGCAAGAACCTCAAAGGGCTTCACAGGCATTAACCAATTAAGCCTCATAACCACCTAGGGAGGCAGAAAAGCATCACACAGAGGGGGAAACTGAGGTCCGAGGAGGTTTAATATTTGCCCAGGGGGTAGAGTGGGCCCAGAACCCAGGAGTCCTGACTCCTGATCACTCAGGCTCTAGACATTAGACGGCACTCCCATTCTGTAAACCAGAATAGTGCTAGCTGAGAAGGGACTCCCCTGCAGCTGCATCCAAACCCAGCTCCGGCAGATGACGGCGGAAAGGTTTCACTGCCGCATGGCGTGTAACTCAGCTGCAGGGCCATTACAGTCCCACCGCTAGCTTCTCCCACAGCAGTCCCCTTGCTGGGAGGCTGAGGTGCTGCCAACCACTCAGCTCTCCTGGCTAATGGAGAGTGATGTCCTCTCATGCCAGCCCGCAGCCCCCTGGGACTCACCCTCTGCTGTATCAGTGCATGCTTGTGCTCCATCTCCCTCTTCTCCACGGCCGAGTCGATCACCAGCTGGTCCAGCTGAAGACAGGGAGGAGAAAACCCGAGGGAAAATTCAGCGAGATGGTTCCCATTACTGTGCCCCCAGCCATCTCTCCTGCTTGCCATTCTCTGGGCTCACGCCAGTCTTGCCAATGGCCTATGTCCTGGGGAGGGATGCGAGTTTCCCCGGGTCCAGTGAGGCTGCGTTTGGGTGGGCGCTGAGGGCTGGTGCGGCAGCTATCTTTCCACCGCTGGGACCTCCTCCCAGAGCTTGGGATTTGGGGTGATGCTTTGTCACCGCCCTGGTTACGGGGAGCTCCTTAGACCAAAGCACAGAGACTATCCTGAGGCACATCGCTATGAGCTTTCTGCACGGCCTGGGCATGCCCACCACCCTGTGAACTCCCAACTCCTTCCCCAGCATGCACTGGGCTCAGTATAAGACCAGGGCTAGAATCTGGTCAGGAATCTGGAGGGAATGTCTCCCGCCCAGGCCCTAAACTTCGGCAAGAAAGATGCAATACAAAAAACAAACAACCCAGGATGCCTTGTGTCTGGGAGGGCTGCCCAGCCCCAGATGGACCGTAGGAGTTCTTGCTTGGTCCAGTGAGCAGGAGATGCCCAGGAAGAGCCAACTTGTCTAATTATGGCTGAGTTCCCGAATCCCCATGCTGGACATGTTCCTGGCAAAGGCAGGTTCTGGAACATTCCCGTCCTGATGCTCAAGGCTTTCATGGCAAAGGGATCACCGCAGGGAAATGGCAAACAGAACCAAGCATCCCCTCACCCCAACCCCTCACCTCAGTGGCCAGCTTCTTCATGTAGGGATCAAGTTCATGAAGGAGGCTGTAGCCCTGCTGGAAAAACGTGTACTGGGCGTGCATGAAGGACAGCATCTGGGGATGGGAAACAAGGCACACGGTCAGAACAGGAGCGGAGCCATTGGGAGGGGAGGGGAGGGGAGATTATGCAGGGCACTCATACACCCCAGTAGAATATCAGCCTCAGTGCTGGCCTAAGAAAACAGCCTAAGCAGATACAATCCTCTCTAAAAGAGCTCTCTCGGACTCCCTCCCTCTGCCAGGGCCAAATGAATCCCCCGCGTCACTCCAATACCTTCTGGGTGACACCGCGGACAGCGCTAGCCTGGGGGAGCTCTCCTCCATGCTGCTGATGGCGAAGGAGGGACCCACCTCAGAGAACAACATACTCTTGTGACTGACCAGGCCCTGGGTTGGGACTCGGGAGAGCCAGGTTCTATTTCTGGCTCTGCCACTGGCTCCTTGTCTGACCCTGGACACGTCACTCGATTTCGCTCTGCCTCTGTAAAATGGGAGTAAGAATACGGCTCTACCTCTGAGGGGTGCTCTGAGGCCACATGTACCATCGAGGTACTCATATGCTATGGGGATGGTGGCCATATATGTACCTAGGTAGAGCATATCGTTCCTAGACGTGCAAATCTCCTTCTCAGGCTCATCTACATCACCTCTCTCTGCAGACATCAACACATCCTCTTTTCCCATCCTTCTCTCTCTCTTCCTCTGTGCCCCCCCCCATTCCTCCTGCCTCTAATCTTACTAAGCTTGCAGGTATCCCCCCCCATCCCTCCCCACATAGCGACTGTCTTTTCCACCGTGTCACTGTCACTCCTCTCTGACAGCCCTCGCCCTTCCAGAGCGCCGAGGGATTGTTTGTTTCTTTGTGGTGCACTATTGTTCCAGAACCCCGCAGCCCACACTGGCCTTCCTGCCTGCGTCTCAGTGCTGGGGACGTGTGTGGATGTGTATCCGCCTGGGCGAAATGGAGCATGCAGCACTGCAGTGTACTAAGTCTGGGGACAGCAGGGAAAATCGAATGGCGCCCTTACCGCGTCCAATATTTCAAACTTCTTCTTGGCTTGGAGGACATTGATCTGTAAGGGAATCAAGACAAGAAACTCAGCAGCGGCAGCCCAGGGGCTAGACATAGCAAGCAGCACCCATTGCAACAACCCTAAGCAGGCAGCGGCAGTTGGCGTCTGATGGGCCCACTCGGAGATGTAGAGATTTCTGGGGAAGGGCCAGTGTGTACAAATTAAAGTCCCTGGATAAAATTTTCGGACGTAGGTTCCAAAGGGACATAGGTGCATTTGAAGATGCTGCCCCCTTTGTGTTACTGCAGATCATCGGACTAGCTAGGCTGGCCCCAGGAGACTGTTCAGTACTTGGTGCCTGTGATGTCGATGCACATTTAAAATCTGGTGGGCCACTGCTTTGCTTCCTCCTGGCAGCTAGATCGAGTGGTGTCAGTGCAGCATGTGTTGGCTCAGCTGGCCAAGTAACCAGCACCCACGGTGCCGGCACTGGGACCTTGTTCCTAAAATAACACATTGTGATTTACAAAGGAAACCAGATCAGTGACTTTAGCGCTCAGGAAGGGCACCAGCCGCCTGACAGCCCTGGAAAGCGAAGTTATCGTCAGAGCACAGGCAGCTGCTGTGCAAACTTCCCCTGCGCGGCCCCCAGTCTGATCTCCTGTGACGTGTGGTCACCTCGAAGGATGAAAGAAGGGGCCTTCAGTCACATTCAGTCCTTAGACTAGCACCATATTTCCATGGTCAGAGAAGCACGACAGCACCATCTAGTGAGGCTGGGAGGGTCTTGTTCTGAAATGTATTCTGCAGCGGTTGTAATGCCCCTCTGCAAAACACAGGCAGCGTTGGTGCTAAAGCACCTCGGTTCTTGTGCTCCTTCCGCAGGTGCTGAGCCGTGCAGTTCAAAAGCACATTCCAACATCTCTCAGCCTGCTACGTGCTACTCTGACCAGGAAAATCCCAGCTTTAATCCCCATTATAAAAGACAGGGCACGATGCAGCAGGTCCCTGTGCTGTCCTTTTATTTCTGGAGACCTGCCATATGTCACCAATACAGAGCGTTTGGTGGGCTCTCATCTTAATCCCCAATTAATTGAATTGCAAAATCACAGCACCTTTTAAAGCAGTAAGCAGCTTTTGCCCAGGAAAGGCACAAGGACCAGAATAGTAGAGGATGCTTGGTGAACCGGCTGCAAGGTAAAGCCACCCTAGCAGCTGTGTCTAGCTCTATTAGTGAGCACTAGTGGTTCACGAGATAACGGATGCCAAAATCAGGTGGGCGAGACTGTTGGAAAGCTGTTTGGTTGGTGAACCAGTGAAAAACGTGCTCAGGACCAGTAAATTCTTGTCAGCTCAGGTCATGGACCACAGGTCAGGAGATGAAAAATGCTTCTGAGATTTATAAAACGTTAAAGGGAAATGAAAAGTCAGAAGCTGCAGAAGAGAGAGTGATGCCTTAAAAATAAAAAATGAATAGTCTGCAGTTACATAATACCTTTCCATGGATCCCATGAGCAAGTCTGGGAAGCTTTACAAGTGCTGTAATTAGCACTAAAGAGCCTGTCAAATGTAGCAGAAGATTTCTATGGGGCTTCAGCTGTCAGTGTCACGAACAATATGTTACCATGACAGCTGCAAAACAGGTCCCGGTATCTCATTATTATGTTAGTATCTCATTTATAAATGTGGCACCAATTAGCTCCAACGATGCTGCACTTGGAGTAGCTGAGACTAGAGTTGAGAGTAAGTTACAGCAAATGCTTTCCTGGATCAGGGACCGAGGGCTCTGTTCTCCCCCATGTCCGAGCTGTGCTGGGCGCAGGGGATGGCGTGTGTCTGTGTTTGGCAGAACCTGCCTCCCGATTCTTCCTCAGCCATGTCCCATCTTCTGCTACAGCTATCCAGAGGGCTTTATACCAGCGAGTATCATGTAGAGGAACTCAGCTCAGAAACATCCCCAGCCTGCCCCACAACCTTCCCCCTCCTCCCTTCCACAGCCAGGATGGGGATAGCGGATGGATGGGAGCCAAATAGAGGGTTCCACTCCACAAGGGGAACTCCATGGCCATTTATAATCAGAATCCAGCCTCTATGCACCGCCTGAGGAATGCAAAGGTGCCGGATCACACGGGAGAATCTGGTCCTAAATTGCAATTCTCTGGGTCTGAGCCCCTTTTTGGGCTCTTTTGTTGTTGTTGTTGCAAATATTCATAAAAGCAAAGTTCCTTCATGCAAATTTCGGGCCTGTGACCAAAGTCTGTTTCGTGATGAATGGAAATTAGTTTTGGGTGGAAGAGGGAGGGATAGGCTTCCTGCTTTTCCAAGGCTGCCGGTCCAGGAAATGAGCGCTGTGTCTTTGCAGCTCTGGTCTGGTGTTGGCAGAAGTACCAGGCCGTAAGGAGGAAGATATGCCAGTCGTGGCCTTGCTAGGACAGTTTCCTGCATCTGCATGAGGCCAAAAGGTTCTTTTTGCCAGAACTCTTTCTCCCACCATGAAGGCTTCTGTTAATTGTTTGGGCTTATCTAGACAACCAGCCACTAGATGGCATGCCTAGGCCACACAAATGCATACTGGTAAAAACAAATTAATCTGGCAGTTAAAAAATGCCCAGTTACTTCAAGTAACTGATTCGTGCAATCCAATTTTGGGGGCGTGCGTGAGGGGGAGGGACTTTGGCAGATTTGCACAGTAGTTAACTAATTTAACTCCAACTTTCCTTGATCATCTCACTGACAGATATTTGGCTGCTGTGCTAAGTCAGAGAGCTGAGAGGCTGGAATCTGCTTTTCCCCAAGGTTCATCGCATCCTTGGGCAAGGTGAGAGGCACATTAGCAAAAAAATGCTGGGACAGAGTCTGCATTATAGGCCAACCCCTTTATGTCATCTGAGCAAGACTCCTCTTGTTTCCGAGACGTTTGAAATAGGGAAGGGGAATTGTGTGAAGGGGACAGAGATTTGTAAAACTGCTGCACTTCGGATGCAGATTTAAGTTGTGTCAAGGGCCCCTAGCGTGTCCATATAAATAAATAAAATACCAAGCCTTTCCCATCTCTGACATCTCTGAGCCTAAAGACATGCAAAGAGATCCTGCCCCAGTTCCTCTGTCTGTGTCTTTTTGGGTGCATGGCTTTCGATCGTCCCCCCAGCAGGGCTAGCAGAGAAATCCCACTGGATCGGCCTATGGCATTAGTGGAGCTTTCTACCTTTGTCAGCATTGGATATTGGCCTACAACACAGGAACTTCTTTCCCTAGTGACCTTGCCAGCAACCACAGCTGAATTTATCTTTAAATCCCAGAAGCCAAAGAGCTACAATCCCTCAAGGTTAGCAAAGCACCCATGACTTACAAATTAAAGGGACAGCGTCCCCTTTCCACCCACTGCTGATTCTCAGCAATCAGTAGAATGTGACATCATATACTATCTTGTGATAAGACAGAAGGTGCTGGCAGATGGTCCCAATTTGGTGCTGCAGGGAACGAGGGCTAGTGGAGTGACACATGGATCAATATTTGCACTGAATTTGTTCAGTTATTAAACCCATTGCCTGGAAGGAGGAACCTGAAGTCAGCTAATAAAATCTGCAAATGATACAACAAAAGCTTTGGCGGAGGGCAAGGGGTAATTATGGGGGCAAAAACCATGTTCTTTGAGGAGACTGTAATGCTAAAAGGAGCTTCAATCAAGGGAAC